GGGGGGGGGGGGGGCAATAGTGTGCGGCTCTCTGCTGTAAATTAGCCACGTGGTTCAGCCTGCAGGGGCACACAGTGAATTACACCGAAGCCATGTCAAAACAATTGGAATGCAAATCAAATACCTCGGGGGTGACTTTGGTCCCCTGGGATCCAGTAATCTACCCTCCACGCTTCTGTGGCCGAGTTTTGTTAAGTGAAATATTGATTTTGGCTCAACATTTTGTAAATATTTACCCCACGGACGTCAGACGGGCCTAACCGTCGAAAAACGAAAAGGAAAAAATCTCCAATATATCAGTTTGGGAGTGAGAGTCTGGATTGGTTACATGCCCGTTGACTCTAAAGCCTCGGAGAACAAAGCAGAGGCCTTCCAGACGGCAACGCTGCTGAAGCAGGGCTCAACCAAGTCATGAAGGTCACCTTACAGACAACGAGGCGTCGGTGACTCAGTCGCAAATTGGAGAAACATAAACTTCTTTTTTTTTTTGTAAATGACAATTCTGGTGAGAAAGTGTAGTTGTTAGTTGCTGACTTCGGCAACCATATATTTACTTTAACTCCTCAGAACTTTCTTTAAATCCTCACATTTTCTTTCCCATCTTTCATCCCAACGGAGAAAAGACGAAGCCAAACAACAAACAACGTACACTCAATGAAAGTTCATATTCTAAAGCAAGAATGCTGACGAGTGCTGACAATATCATCTTTTGCTATCAGATGTGTATGTTTTACCACTATTACGAGATCACGGCGAATGGTGAGAAGCAGTGAAAATTTCGCGTTGCGTTACTCGCGGCACCATTTGTGGTTATTCACTTCACTCGCGCTAGATGCGCCCGGAGAGGAGGAGTGGCTTATCTCCATGGAAGCCGTCATTAACTAAGCCATTTATTTCTGCCATCAACCATGGAAGAAATAACCAGTATTTCTGCTGAGTACTTGTGGTGGAAGTCCCAGATAACCCGGGAAGATTTCATGGAGGTTTCACTGTGTTTACTACAGCTGTATGAACACATTTTGCTGTGATTTAACGGCAATAAAGAGATAAAAAGTGTTGCCGAAATAACTACGTAATGATGCCGATTTGTAAAAAAATCATGTTTCTTTAGTTCTCTCCGCAAGACGAGAGGCAAATAACTTTTAAAATACTTGTTTTCTCAATGGAACTCAGATCGATCGGTGCTATGCTAAGCTAACATTGTAGCAGCTCCATCAACACTCGACATAACGTCATATATGCGTAAATACGGCAGCGTCTTTTTTATTGTTCCTACCATATGGTTTATACACACAGTTTCGTCCGGTCACTACTAATATGAGGTGGTGGAGCTCTGGGTGAACACCTACAGCTACACTATTTTAACAACGTCAGTAATGACAGGAGGAGCATCTCAATGCTGACAGGCTCTCGCGACACAGCGTTTATTGCTTCTCAATGCGACGTTTCATCTATGGAGAAGAAGAATGTGACCTTTCTTATTTCAAACGTTACATTGTCTCATTTTAAACATCTAAAGGTTGGAAGTCACCATTTTCTTAGCAGTAGGTAGTCAAGTGTGATATTACTGGGCTTGATTTGATGCTTGAAAACACAAGCCTGATGTGAAATGCATCAGCTCCAGTGTCTTAAACAGACCTTACTGGCAATCAGGATATTTGTTAATAAAGTACGAGCCATGGAAAGCTGATGGTCAATTGTCAGGTAAATACTCTGCGTTGCTGTGCAGATGGATACATTTTACGATTCATGAATTCACTTTGACAACATTTTTGATATCATCTTTAAAGTCTGAGGACATTTTCTCCTCACTCCCGTCCTCCGGTCCCCCGCCCCGTCTCACCCTGCTGATGGAGAAGACGAAGCCGGGCTGGCCGGAGCAGACGCCCATGAAGCAGAAGCGCAGCTGCCAGTAGAACCAGTGCTCGCAGATGAAGGTGATGAGCGACAGCGCCATGGCGGCGCCGAGCATGTAGAAGACGCCGGCCATGTTGTCGATGTCCAGCTGGCTGGACATCACCTCGTTCTTCTCGTGGTGGCAGATCCCCGTCAGCCACAGGGACTCCAGCTCCTCCATCTCACCTGGATGGAGGAGGGAAGATGGGCAGAAGGGGAGGGAGGGAGAGCAGGATGGTAAAGGAGAAAAGGAGACGAGACAGAGGGTAGGGTGCACGATGACGACATGTGGAGAAGTGTTTTATATGATTCGTACGGGAATCAGAATAAAGTGGGAAGGAATGTAAAATAAAAAGGAGAGAGGAGGGATATGATGTAATAACAGGACAGGGTTTGGAGGACACAAGGGACGGAGAGGTGATGCAACAGAAGAAGAGAGGAGGGAAGATGGCGGGCAGACGGTGGGGAGAGGGGCGGGGGGGGAGGGGGCGGTCAGGGGAGTTAGAAACGAAATACAGCCTTGAATTTTGCAGTACGCCTCATTGCAGACTGGTAGACAGTAACACACACCATCGGTCACACGTTAATTACATCGATCGTTTTTTTGCACTCACTTCTGCAAATGATTGTGTTTCTACCTACCACACAATATGTTCAAGCCTCAGGTTGAATGTGAGTGTGCATCTATGCAGTGTGTTAAAAAAAAACCCACAAGTGTTAGCGTTTGTATGCATGTGCACGTATGTGTGTGTGTGTGTGCATTTGATGCCGGTCCCTGAGCTTCTGGTCTCTTTTGTGGGTCACCTTCTGTTTCACCACGAGCTGTTCTCTATCAAAGCCGACTGTGGCAGGACAGGCCTCGTTTAATTAATCATACATTCAGCCGTTGTCGCTGCGCGTCCGCCGCGATTCTTGCGCCGGAGCACTGGCTAACCTCTGAGCGTCAACGAGAAGCGCCACAGCATACAAACTCAGGAGGAGGAGGCGCCGCACACACACACGCACACACACAGGCAGGCAAACATACAGACACAATCACACAGCAGACACTACTTTATATCTGCTGAGAAAGTGACTGAAATGCAACCATTTTACAGCCAATAAGATGCGCCAGTGTACAACACTGGTGTACGATCACTGCTGGGAATGTGAAGATTGTTAACATTGGGATGTTTACTGTATTTTTTCTCAAGCAAGTCTGTGTTTAGTCTAAAACAGTTGGGTTGAGGAATGTAGTTCACTATTATACTATTACATTACATACTATTATACTAGAGTTTGTAACCTCAAAAGTTCAACATTTTGGGGAATACACTAGCACTGTGTTCTAGCAGAGGTGGCTGAGAAGATCAATATCCATTTCAAGTCTGCATGCTTACTGTGAAGCCTGCAGCCAATTAGCTTAGCTTAGCATACAGACTGATAATGGGGGGCGAAACAGCTAGCATTGTTACTATACCAGCACCTCTAAATTCACTAATTAACATGTTACATCTCATATATTTTAATCCATTAAAAAAAAACTTGTGTGACATTTAACTATTCATTATTTGGTATGGGTGAATACGTGTGCAAACTATTTCTTTATGCTAAGCTAAGCTAACCGGCTGATGGCAGTAGCTTAATATTTACCGTACAGACATGAGAGTGGTTTCAATCCTTTTATCTAATTCTCCCCCCAGAATGTAAATAAAGAATATTTCCCAAAATCTCTTCCTTGAACTTTTATGGTGCCTGCAGACAATAATGCAAGCAGGGGTGTAAATATAGACTGTGGAGTGTGTGTGTGGGGGGGCATAGAGAGAGCTATTACCGATACAATAGCCTTAGTAACTCATCCGACAACACATTGTAGGTGACATATAAATAGGCCCAACAGTGTGTGATTCATAACTAGTAACTAGCATACACTAGGGCCCGTCATAATAGCGTACACTCAGGCCCTTTATTACCACCTCACGCCACTGAGAGCAAAGGATATAAAATAAAGGACTAAGAGGATGCAACTGAAAAATGACAATTGTGCTGACATTTGACTTTGTCAACTCGCATAAAACCTTCATTCCCGCAGCTCAGTTGCCCATCAGCTCATAAACGTTTTTGCAGATCGTCATCTTTCATGTTTCCACCCTTCGTATTTTTAGTCACTTTCCGTATTCTAATGACTAAAAACTATGAGCACGAAATGTTACTTTAATCATTCACGTCTGGTGTTTCTGAATGATGCAACAGGTCTTTCATCGCTCTCAAGGGCAGAGGGTCATTGAACTCAACATCTTCTGTAAATGAAAAACCTTCCATCCATATTTTGTTTTTTTTTAGCTCAGGCCTGCGTCAGACGACCCAGACTCCCTCCCCAGCCCTCGGTACCAGGACACTGGGCCCTCCACGTGAGTCTGATCACGCTTTTCTAGGCCACCAGGAGGGGAGTGCATGGCGAGGCGTGGCAAAGTGACATTGAAACCCTGAGAGGGGCGAGACGGGGCCGTTCGGTTCCTGTGCGAAGGCTTTTTTCGCCGTGTGGCACAGGGTGACGTTACTGCGAGCCGACCCATATTCAAACACACACGTGTGCTCTTAGAGAAACACAACACTCTCATTGAGCTCCATGTAGGTTGATAAAAATAAACCTGTGTCATAAATTGTCAGAATCTCTACAGCACTCTCTTTATCTCTCTAACACACAATCCTGCTTACACACATAGAGGCCTGACCCATATTCACATGCGCGCGCACACACACACACACACACAACCCCTCACGCTCATGCACACACGGTGTTGAAATACACCAGGAGCTATGCTGGCACCCCTAACTGGGACGCACTATAGTGGGCCCCCCGAGGGCCCTTGGTTCAGGATGCTCACAACACGCTGGACCGTGCCCAAACTAACTAGGAACAACACACACACACAAACTTAGACAAGCACACACACACACACACACACACACACACGCACACACACAGAGCAAACTTCCATTCTGCATTGAGCTGTATATCAAAAGGGGACAATGTGAGAATTAGACGGCTGATGTCGATAAACAACAACGAGCAGCAGCTGTCTGAGAACGTTGTGACTTGTTCCTGATGAAGAGCTTTCGCTCCAAAACCGCAAAAGCATGTGCCATGCGGGTCAGAAACGGACATTTTGAACATGTTCTGACTCATTAACGCTCCTGCTAGAGCTGATAGGAATGAAAGCCTTTCAAAAGAACAAGCCCCGAAGAGCTTGGACAGTCTCCCATAAAAGGCAAGCGGGATCATAAAGCACCGGGCTCCCACGGTGGAGCTAAATCTCCAGTTATATTCATTCCTAGCAGCGCTCCCTTACCTTCTCTGTCTGTTCTTGATATATACGAGAGCGGACTTACGTGTACTTTTGACTTGCAGAGCCAATTAATCATCGCGATTACGGTCGCAGACACAGGAATTACTGAGAAGAACTATGATTAGAGGTGTGTTTTAAAGTAAGTGCATGAGAGGGCAAATTTGGGAATAGTAAATGTTTATTACAAGTACTATTTCTTTAGGTTTGGACTTTGGATGTTAACTGTGTGTTTCTTTGTTTTAGCAGTGTTGCCATGTAAGTTGTCGAGTAAAGCATTATTATAATAGAAGAGGATAACAGTGGCCAAAGCCAACAATATAAGAAGAGTCTCCTTTGATGTTCGCTTCAAGGCTTTTTAATTTAAGGAGTGATGTTCTGCTGCATTATCTCAGCGACTGACTCGTGCATCTTTGAGTTGTTATTTACTACTCGCCACATCAACACAGCTGCATGCGTGATAGACTCTCTGCCTGCCGAGAGCATTAAACCGTGTGCCATCTATGAATAAAACAGTGGAGGGAAAAGCAGGCGCGCTGCTGTCTCACCGTCTCCGAAGAGCTGCAGGATGGCCAGGTCCACGTGCCTCTTCCAGATCGACTCCTTCTGGATGGCGATGCCGTAGCCCGTGGTGGCGAAGATGTAGCCGCTGCCGATGGTCACCAGCTTGCAGCCCTCGTCCCTGCCGGCCATGTAGTTGAGTACGGCCGCGTCGTAAATGAAAGCGTCTAGTTTGCTAATGAAAAAGAGAGAGAGAAGGGAGAAAGAGAGAGTGAGATAGAGACAGGTTACAATTAATTAGCACTTAGGAGTCAGACATCACGGCTACAACGTTCCAATTAACCTGCTAAATAACTCTAAGCTGCTGATAAGTGTAATAGACTTCCACTTGGTTTGCCAAAGGCTGGAGCTGGCACACGGGCCGGCGGGAAAAAGCACACTTGATGAAGGAGGGGGAGTTATTCAGCTCCAATATGTTTACATGCAGACTAGTAGGAGAGACATAAACGGGGAACTTTAGCATCGATTGTCTTTGGAACTATTCGCCCCACAATTTTACGCAATATGCGAGTACTAAATAATGACCGTCGGTTGAAAGTGCCTCCTGCTTTTGATTCCCTTAAAAAAAATCTGCAACAGTGCTGCAATGAAAGCAGCAGGTTTCAATATGACTAAACATAGAAACTACTGACATAACAGATGTTTACGTGCCTAAAGCTAAGACATACACATATGACATATACATTGTTCAATATCTCCAGATGATGGTGACCATTTTGTCAAATAGGGCCTCAAGTTTCAAACATAAACGTGATCCTTTAAACTCATTTTACAATGAAACTAAACGAGACACTTTAGTTTCTCACCCAGCCTTGAGACTCCCCAGAGCTTCGTTGACGTTTTTCTGATGGAACTTTGTCATGTAGCCGTGCATCTCCGGATAGTTGTTCCTAATGTTTCTCTCCGTACTCCCGTTTGGGACAGTGCCGAACCGAAACGGAGGCGAGAAGTCGTTGGGACTCTGGAACTAAACACAGAGGACGGACCGTGGACAGATAGAGAGAGAGAGAGAGAGAGAGAGAGAGAGAGAGAGAGAGAGAGAGA